TGGTCCATTAATGATCTTTGTTCAATTGTACTGGTCCATTAATGATCATTCTTCAATTATACTGGTCCATTTATGATCTTTGTTCAATTATACTGGTCCATTAATGATCATTCTTCAATTATACTGGTCCATTAATGATCATTGTTCAATTATACTGGTCCATTAATGATCATTGTTTAATTATACTGGTCCATTCATGATCTTTGTAAATAAATTATACTGGCCAGCAGGTAGTTTCAGTTTTCTCCAGTTTGGTCCCAGTTGATGTCAGCCGTACGGATATTTTCCCAGTGGGAGTTGTTGTGGTTTAAAGTTGATCATAAAACGAGATCAGTAAATTCTGTGCTCGGGTCACAGAACCTCCTGCTGGTTCTGGTTCTAACACTGGTCCGTTTGATGGTTTTCAGGCGCTGAAGCGGAGAGGTCCAGTCGGAGCGAGTCCAGCAGCCAAGAGGATCTGCAGGGAGACCAGACCCACAGGACCGACCCAGAACTCCCACCAGAGGAGCATCTTCACCTTCCTGGACCATTGAGGACCACCTGACCCGGTTCAGGGTCCGGTTCTTGTTTTATCCTGTAAATAAAGTTTGATTTTAAATCTGTTTTCTTGGTTCTGAAGTGTAAACGACTCTTTCTGACTCTGCTGGTTCTGTTAGCCGGACCAGGTGGGGCGATTCGGGTCCGAACCTGTTTTATCAGCTTCTAATGAGTCCAGGTACCGCTGGATGGACCGGTTCTGTTGGAACAATGGTTGTGCTTTAACAGAATTGTTCGGATCAGAACCAGTCCGGTTGTTACCACTCTGAATGTAACCGAGCTGCAGTTCAGAACCGAGTCGTCCTGGTTCTGAGGCCTCTGGCTTCATCGCTCTGTGCAGGAGGTTCTACAGAACCGGACCAGAACCGTTTGAAGCTTCTGTAGAAAACGAGTGAAAAGTTCTGACATCATCTTTAAAGAGACCCGATTAAAACCTGGAACTGGTTCTGCTCACGAACATTAAAGGAGCACCAAGGTCCGATTGTTGGGAGCCAGAACTGGTCTGGGTCTGAGGACCAGAGTCTGCTTGTTTGGACCCTCATGGTCCTGGTGGATCCGTTCACTTTTAAATAAACTCACATTTAATACAGAATATTAATTAATTCATAATTATTTCATTCAAAATTATCTTAATTTGTTAAATATTTTAATTAAATATTTAAATTACTTAACAATTATTTTAATTGGTTTATAATTAATAACATTTTAAATAAAAAACTTGAATCTATGTATGGACATTGTTCACATTCTTACAGAAACTCCATGAAAGTGGACAGAACCAGAACACGGGTCACACCAGGTCCGGGGGATGTTGGATCAAGTGATGTCATTTCCTGTGTTCTGGTGATTTTAACTGGTTCAACTTTTATGTGTTTGTAAGAAAAAGTATTTTTTGTGGCCCTCCAAGCACCGGCTCATGGACCCCCAGGGGTCCCTGGACCTGGACACCCCCCCCCCCCCCCCCCCCCCCCCAAAAAAAAAAAAAAAAACAGATTCCAGTTTGAGAACCACTGCTCTAATGAAGTTTCTGTCATTAGGAACTGGTTCTGGGGGATTTGGATGGGGTGCAGGAGGCCTCATTAAGCAGCAGGGGCCCCGCCTGCAGTGAGCTGCATGCTCGGATGGGTTCTGACTCATTCTTCCTGGGGGGTCATCAGATGGGAGGTTCTCTGGAGCCTCCTTCAGTCTGACAGGAAGTGAACCTGAAACCCAGGTCCAGTTCACTGCAGGTCCCAGAACTTGGATCAGTTCCACCTGTTTTGGTTCGTGGGGGGGTCCGGATCTGACGGTGACCGCTGTCGGCCATGTTGGAAGGAGCTGCTGCAGAAGGTGGGTCACAGTGCTGCAGTCTGGACAAACAAGGACTCATTGTGCACAAGGTGTCCCTTTGTTGTGGGGGTGGAGTCATGTTGGTGTCCAATAGACCCCTGTCCCTGGGGACACTCGTCCCTCTGTCAGTGTCTCTGCAGACGTCCTCTGAGATGTTTGTGTGATGAGGCCTTCAGCTGAGGTCTGATGCATCTTTCATGGGGGGGGGCTGTTCCTGTCTGGAGGGATAAGACGTGTGACATGACGTGACATGATGACATCACTTCCTGTTTGAGCTGATCAGCTGTGATGTGGACTTCACATCCTGACAGGAAGAATGCGCTTTAGATTACACTCCACTTCCCAGAATGCAACAGAAGAAGAAAATGTCACATGATCAGGTAAATGTTCTACTGTTAATGTTGAAGGTCAAAGTTCACAGAAGCCTCTAGAGGGTCACACATGAATAAGGTCAAAGAAAAAACTCAAGGTTTTATAAACATGTTTGTAAGCACGTTTATTTATTTAAACCTTTATTTTACCAGGAAAGAAATCCATTGAGATTATTCTGATGCTGCTCAATAATCCAGGTAGGTAAAAATCTTAAAAAGTTCAATCTGGTCCTCTGGACATTCAAAAAAACAAAACAAAGCAAAAAAATCTAGAAACGTTTCGTCTCTCATCCTGAGGACTTCCTCAGTCTGAGGAGCTGTTTTCAGCTCAGTCTCTTAAATAGCACCTTCTCAGAGTGGATCAACCAGTTTGCTGCTGACAACCAAAACCAACTGATCACATGGTCAAGAAGGACCATCAGCCTAACAATGGATCATTAGCACCTGATGGCTGTTTACTGTTCACAGAGGGCTGAGTGATACTAGCAATCACAGCATTGTAAGAGGGGGACAGTTGAACCTGGAGGCTCCGCCCCTGTTTAATGATGGACGGTTTCTTTTCACAAAGATGGCCTCCTTTACTCCTCTCTCAAACCATCGTTCCTCTCTGTCCAGGATGTGAACATCTTCATCCCTGAAAGAGTGACCGCTGGCCTG